TGTGCTCTGTTGTTCCTGTCTAAGTGCAAGTGAAGTCGCAACCATCAATTTGTTTATCCATGTGTAGCCCCTTGTTGAGCTACATGTGAGGGAGGGTAGTTGTGTCTTCCGTTGTCTTATTTTCTATTTGAGCCTATGCATGAGTTTCTGTTGTCTTATTTTTAATCCGTATTTATATATATTTTTGACTAAGAAACAATGATGGATAAGGTTATTTTCTTCTTTTCTGTATTGTTTATCACCATGACAGATTGATTTCGTATTTTTCTGCAGATCCTATCGGTTTGTAGACAAAAGCTGGGAATAGAACTTCAACTAGTGTACAGAATGCTCAAAGTATTTATTTTTCTTGCCTGCTTGGGAATAACCATGGTCTTATCCAAAGCATATACCCTCACTATATCAGATTTATTGGCTGCTGTCCTTGCCTTCTTGCCCACTGGCTGGGGCCTTCTTCTTGTAAGTTTCAAACTTTCCTGGGTTAATACGTAAAATAATCCCCAAACCATACACTTGCAATTTGTTATCTAAAGGGAAAAAAATGAGGTAGTTGAACACTTGAACTGTACTTCGTTTGAGATGGCATGGTTGACTCATACTAAGTCACTGCATGTAAGGTCAGATATTTTCTGAATGACCCAACACATGTTGACTTGGTATCAATCAACCACACCACATTAGCGGTTTATGTAATGGCTCAAGTCTAACTTGCTTGACAGAAGTAAAGTTCATATACTCGATTGTGAGTTTTTTTCCTTTAGTTACCAAGGGTTTTTTTCTTTTCCAAAATTTTGGTAGTATTTAGGGGTGTAATCAAACCAAGCCAAGCTTGAGCTCAACCCGAAATTCGAGGCTCAAAGCAATCGAGATGAAACAGTCTCAATGAAACAGTGAACTATTTGATCTTGCTCTGTTAGGCTCATTATTCTAGTAAAACAATGAGCTCGATTCTCATTCTAGACTTCAAGCTTATTTTTTGTGCTCGAGCTCAAGTTCAAGTTTGAATTGAAATCTTCAATTAGTAATTGAACTGTGTATAAGAATCTCGATTAGGCCCGCGAGCTACTCAAGTCTAGCATTGAGACACTGAAATCTGGCTTGCTCGATAGCTCTATTTTCTCGAGTTCAAGCACAACTTGACAATGCTCGAACCGAGCACGTGTCTCTTTAACACCCCTGGTTGTAATTTAATGTCTTGTAATTTTAGTGTATAATTTATTAACAAATAAAGATGATATTATGTTGATTTGTGGTTTCCAAAATCCAAGATTGGGCAAGCCTGCAGGCCATTGTCGAAGGGGATAATGTGGTGGAACGCAATGAAGGAGATGAGCAGAGCATATGACTACATCATGGCATTGCTGCTTTTCATGCCCATAGCCATATTGTCATGGCTTCCATTTGTGTCTGAATTCCAAACTCGCATCCTCTTCAATCAAGCTTTTAGCAGAGGTCTTCAAATTTCTATCATTCTTACTGGCAGGGAAGACAAGGCCTCACCTAAATGATTTATTTATTTGATAGAATATTGTGATTTTTTTTTGGCAATATACGGAGGTGGAACAAAACTTGTGTCTAGCGAATTTCGTATTAATTCATTTGTTAAATTTAACCTATGATGTTTGTACGTCATTTTTATCTAAGTATCCTATTTTTTTACAAGAATAAATTATACGTTTAGTATTTAAACTATCAGTTTTTATCCGATTTAGTGTACTAAATTTTTAATTTTTTTTAAAATCACTTAAAATTTAATTTTTGTTTCATTTTAATATCCCTTTTAAAGCTTAATGTTAAATTTTGGGGGGAAATTGAAAGTTTAGGTATTAAAACGGTTTAAAATGATAGTTTAGGTATTAAATATGTTAAGTTTTTAACAATAGGGTATTAAAATGAATAAAAAAATAAATGTTAGGTATGATTTTGAAAATTTTGAAAGTTTAGGTTGTAAATCGGGTTTAAATTGATAGTTTAAGTATTAAATGCATAATTTACCCTTTTTATAATTGTGCCAAGTACTTCTGGTCGTGCTACTGTGCACGCTTTGTTAAATTTTAAGTAATTATTTAGAAAACTATTAATAGTTATTAAAAAAACTATATCTATAATGTTCTTCTGCTTAATAAGACGCATGTAATAAAGTTTCTATTTTCAAGTTTATTAATAGTTATTCACAATGTTCTAGACTCTTTACTTGAGTCCCCCCATCAAAATAAGGTTGTTTAAATTTTCTCTTTCTAAAATATCGATATTTAATCTTAAATATTAATAAGGTTGTTTAAATGTTCTAAACTCATCTTAAATATTGATATTAAACTAAATTCACCTATTAGTCTTAATACTAGTAATCTTATACGAGTATCGATACTACCCTTTTTACTGATACCAATTTTACTCTCAAAGTTGGATAAAATGTTCTAGTATCAATATCATCGTCTATAGTATTGACATTAATTTGAGTTTCAATGTTTTGAGTTGGAAACAAATCTTTTTTTTTATAAACGAAGGAGAAAACTAATGTCGTCTTGAAGTTTTGTCTCACCACTCACTTTGAATATATATATATATATATATATATATTAATCTCAAATAAATTTATTTTCTATGTATATTTTAAAATTTTATGTTAGGTTATATTTAAATTATGGGTTAATTACCTTACTCATACATGAAACTATACTCGATTCTCAATTTCATACATAAAATCTAAAAATTTATTTTCTCAAATAAATTTATTTTCTATGTATATTTTAAAAATTTATATTAAGTTATATTTAAATTATGGGTTAATTACCCTATTCTTGATTTCATACATAAAATTTAAAAATTCTCGATTAACTACATAATATTTTCTGTCGTTAACGGGTATACTCGTTATCGTCACCGAAGATGACATAAAACCCTATGACCTATAACAATACAAGTGGCGAATTAATTTTTTAAAGATTTTAAACTTTAGCTATGTACTCCTCGATATGGTGAATAAGATTCAGATCGTCTTCTTTCCTTCGACTGGATTCAACAGATGAATCACTTACTGGCTATCAGTTTCAATATTTATCTTTCGACTTCTAATCTTCTAAGCTGCTTTTAGTCCTTCATAAAACCCCCCAAGTTCGACTTCTATCGTTGAGCAGAAAATCAAAATCCCATTTACCTTTATGGTATCTAAGAACTCCTGCGCACGTTGCTTCCCCAGTCTGGTTTCTCCTAGCTCCGTCCGTGTTTATTTTCATCCAAGGATAACTCGGTGGTACTTAGAGTCGTCAGTCACAACTCAGATTGGACTTTGTTTTCTGGACCATCTGTCCTCGCTTGTATCTCACGTTCCTTTTGTTCTCTATACCAAATCTTCAATTTTTCTTCACTTTTCATTGTATTCATATGCTCTCACTTTATTCACTTTGCTAAAGTTTCATTTCTTTGTTCTCTTTTTTAATTTACTTTTCTCAGTTGTTTTACTGAATCGGGTTTTTTTTTTTGTTTTGGTGTAGGAGAGGTAGGGGCGGTAATGGTTGCAAGGTCGGAGATGACAATGGTAGCTTGTAAGCATGGTTTTTGGGGTTCCCTTTTGAATTTATTTTTTTCCTGCTTGTTTGGTTCCCGAGAAAACATAGGCAAATGAAAGAACTTCAGAGCTTTTAAGTGTTTCAAACTTTTGACTGTTAACTATTAAGTTAATGAGAAAACACAGGAAAATGAAGAACTTCAGGGTCAAGCATTGCTTGTTTCCTGATTGAAACAGGGGAAATTTTGTTAATGAGGGATTTTGAATTATTTAATTGATCTTATGAGATGGGTTTTTATTAATATGTGATTTGGAGGTATTTTTCATTTCTAAAATTAGCAACTTTATAAATAATTTTCTGGTATATATTGAATTTTCCCGTTTCTTTTTACCTGGTGAAGGATGCTGATGTGAGAAGATGGATTTTGTCGAGGAAGAGTGACAGATTATTCACCATATCGAGGAATATATAGCTAAAGAGTAAAATCTTTAAAAAATATTTTTTTAATTCATCACGTGTCAGATTGTTATAAGTTAGAGAGTTCCATGTCATCTTCCGTGACTATGTATACCCGTTAACGACAGAAAATATTATGTAATTAATCGAAATTTTTTAAATTTTATGTTTAAAATTGAGAATTAGGTATAGTTCATGTATAAATGAGATAATTAACCCTTAAATTATTGATTAATTATTACATAGAAAATATATTAAACTTATAAATATTTAAATTAATTTTATATAATATAATAAAATCATGTTTAATAAATAAATTATTTAATTAAATTAATTTAATGATTATAATTAAGAGTTAGAATATAAAGATTATAATTAATATAAAAAATGAATTTATTAATTTTAATTATCATACCTAACAATTTGTTTCAACTTTTAAAAATAATCATATTAATTATCATAGTTTATTATAAATTTAAAATCTTACAACTTTATCAATTGTAAATTATAAGTCATGTAATTATTAGATTAAGTCAATAACAAGTCGTATTATTTACAGGTTGAGTTAATTAGAGGTCAAATTCATAACAGGTTGGGTAATACCAATTATTTATCAAGTTAATATCGGGTTTATGTTTATATTAGCCGGATATCGGTCAAGTTCGATTATTATATTATCGATTTAATTCGAGTTTAGGTCATTCTCAGTTCGAGTGCATGTCAAGTTTAGATCTATAATTTTCAGATCTAACTCAAATTTAGATCAACACTAATTCGAACTCAAATCAATTTCGAATCATTACCGTTCAAATCACAAATAATTTTAACTAAAATAAATTTTAATCAATTTTACAAGTTGGATCAACTTTTTATACCCCTAGTCGCAATCACAATTGATGCCCAGTTGTATTCACTCTCACGTTTGCTTTTCCTTCACTATTTTCTCTCTATATGTTCCCTCCATTGCAAACTAAGCTAAGCTTTTTTTGAGTCCCTCTCTCTCTTGAAATCCTCAAATCCCACCAACCATTTTTCCTACCTTTTCCCAGTGCTTTACAAATGCATCGACTTGTATCCCTCTTTATCATTAGCTGGATTGTCAGCTAAAGGGGAGGGCTTCTTGTAAACTACTCTTCCGTCTCTGCATTTTCAGCTTTACCCCTTTTTCATGGGGTCTTTTTTAATCATTTGTTCCTTGAGAGATCCCCTCTTGAATGCTAAAAGATAAGGACTTTTGTTTTGTTTTGTTTTGCTTCTGTGAGTGCCCAAGGAAGAAGATCAAAGGTAAATGATTTCTCTTTTTTGAATTACTTTAACCGTTTCTTACTTGGATCAGAAGTGATTTTTTTACAAGTTTCTTATTTTTTTTAATAGAAATTGAGTTATATCTCTTCTTGTTTCTCTTTGGGTGTATTTAATCGTTGAGTATGTTTTTTTTATTGGTCTAACTTGTTTACAAAATGTTTTTGTTTGTTTGTTTGTTAAATGAATAAAAATGTGATGTCCTTGTACTCATGAATCTGTTAAAAATGTAATGAACTTCATTAGATTGTGTCTTCAGATTTGAATGTAAAGATGGTTTTGACGAGAATGGATGAAATATTAATATCACCTAGTTTATTCTGGTGAAAAAAGTTTCACCAAGAATTTATCTATTGACACTGGAATCTATTAAACATGTTTCTCATTTTGATATTTCTGGTGTTTAATGGCCATGTTTCTGGTACATTTGTAGGAGTGTGTTAAAATTTGGGCCTTCATACAAGGGATTCAAGTATAATTCTGACTGTTAAGATCCAAAAGATAAGAGATGTCGATTGAGGGTGCCTTAAATGCTGATTTGTCAAAGAAGACATTGCTTTTGGGTTTAAAGCTCTGGGTTTTGATTGGTGTATTTGTTGGCACATTCATATTGTTGATTCTTTGTGTCTTATCCGTATGGGTTACATTGGGAAGGAGATCTAGAAGATCCATAGACAAGTTCTCGTTTTCCCAAATACCAAATGTCTCGAAAGATATCAAGGTCGATGAGGTTGAAGATCAGAGCTCCAATGGTCTTCCAGAAAGTTTACTCCTTCCTGTTCGTGATAGGCTGAGTGATAAGAATTCTGAGAAAATGCTAGCTTATTTGAGAATGAGCAAATCAAGTGACCCTGATACTATTAGTCAATGCAGTGCAGTATACCGTCGTGAGAAAGGTGTTAGTTCCCGTTCAGTGGAAGAAGGGAGCTCTGCAACGGTCCAAAAGCAGTGTGCACCCTCAAACAGCGGACAAGTGACAGCCTCTCCCTTAGTTGGTCTGCCAGAAGTTTCACGTCTTGGTTGGGGTCACTGGTTCACTCTTAGGGATCTTGAGCTCGCAACAAATCGTTTCTCGGCTGAGAATGTGCTTGGAGAGGGCGGATATGGGGTGGTTTACAAGGGTAGACTGATCAATGGAACTGAAGTGGCAGTTAAGAAACTTTTTAATAACCTGTACGGATATATTTCAAGTTTAAGGAGACTATCTCACTTCTTTTAATACTTTTCTTAACGATAAAGAAAAATTATTTTGCTATAATCTTTGGTGAATTGGATGTCTAGGGGACAGGCAGAAAAAGAATTTAGAGTTGAAGTGGAGGCCATTGGTCAAGTTCGACATAAGAATCTTGTGCGGCTTTTGGGTTATTGCATCGAAGGAGTTCACAGGTGAAAGTTAAATTTGTTGTCGATTTCTACGTCATTCTCATTGCATATTCACTTTTAACCATAATTGTGCATTAATGTGTTCACGCTAGAAATTTTTTTACCCTATCTCAATCTTTATAGTTATTTGGGTTTGATTTGACAGTAAATCAGAATATAACTGAAATTCCTGGTTGATTACATAGAATGCTGGTATATGAATATGTCAATAATGGTAACTTGGAGCAATGGCTACATGGGGCAATGCAATTGCACGGTTCCTTTACTTGGGAGGCTCGAATGAAGGTTGTTCTTGGTACTGCCAAGGCGTAAGTTCACGGTTCAAACTTGAAGCTTCATTTTGCTTTTGTTGGATTACAATCTGAATGTCAAAGGTGGTTTTATTTTTCATTCATATAAAATCTAGTTTTTTATTTAAATTCTGATGTTTACTTTTTCCTTGGGTTAATGTAAAGGCACTACATATTTTGTGATTGCTAGAATCATGATTCATGTAGTGTTTCTGATTGGTATTCTAATTGATGCTTGAAATCATTGAAAATATCATTTGGTTTAAAACGACTAATTGAGATGATACACTGATTTTTGAAAATGGTTGCAGGCTTGCTTATTTGCATGAAGCAATAGAACCCAAAGTTGTTCACCGGGACATAAAATCAAGTAATATTTTGATTGATGATGATTTCAATGGCAAGGTTTCTGATTTTGGATTGGCCAAGCTCTTGGATTCGAGAGAGAGTCATATAACAACTAGAGTCATGGGGACTTTTGGGTAATTCGAAATTCTCATTCTCTTAAGCAACAACCTGATAATGTTGCTAAGCATCTTCTGATTGAAAATTTCGTTTGTGCATCGCAGTTATGTTGCACCTGAATATGCTAATACCGGCTTGTTAAATGAGAAGAGTGATATTTACAGCTTTGGTGTTCTCTTGCTTGAAACTGTCACTGGAAGAGATCCTGTCGACTATGACAGACTGGCTAATGAGGTACTAGTTTATACCGATGTTACTCAGATGTGAGTGTCATATGCGGGCATGTGTGCCATGTTTTGATATTACTGTATGCATCTAACCCTTTTTCCATTTAAATCTCTTCGCTCGGTCATCAGTCATCACTGTGTTTAATGCAGGTCAACCTTGTTGAGTGGCTGAAGATGATGGTTGGAGCAAGAAGAGCGGAGGAAGTAGTGGATCCAAATCTTGAAGTTCGACCCTCAACACGTTCTCTTAAACGTGCCCTTTTAGTGGCACTTAGATGTGTTGATCCTCATGCAGTTAAGCGGCCCAAAATGAGTCAGGTTGTACAAATGCTGGAAGCTGATGTTTACCCGTTTCGTCAGGTACAAGGATCCTATTTGCTGCTGGTTAATGTTATTTTCATGCGTTTTCTGTTTACTAGGTGTAGTGCATAACTGCATATCTTTGCCATCAAGATCTGCATATTTTAGCTTGTACGTGATGGTCCATTATCAATATCTTTGGTACGGCATAGGTCCTAAGCATCCCTTTTCCTCCCTTCACCAGTGTTAAACGGACTCGAAGGTGAGTGTTAGATAAGGACGTGTGTCCAGCATGGATGTGCTCAATTTTTGAAAATATTCTATATATTTTGAGGATCATACTCTCGTATCCATGTCCGAATATATGTTGAATATAGATGTCGTAAACAAGTATTTTAGGAAAAATGAGTATGTGGACCATAATCCTTCAATACGCGTTTTAGGGAGAAAAACAAAGACACGAGTATGCTACTAGGCAAGGAGAATTCTACATGAGTCTGTTTATAAACCAGGCAGCTATATATATTAGAGTCGGGTATGAACAGGGGCGGATGCAGGAACTTATGTCAGAGGTGTGAACATTAAGGAAGTTATATTAGAAATTTCGGGGGTGCAAAATTTGATCGTCGGTAGAAAATACCTAAACTATGGTACGGGCTTGTTTCTTGTACATATACGTTTGATTTTTTTCCTACGTTTTTGCATGTACTTGGAGGGTCCTTGTTGGGTTACATTCGCATATTGATGTCCAAATATGTTGAACATGGATACTTAAAAATGGTGGAGTCTAACGATGTATATACAATGTACATATGTTGTCTTGAACTCTTGCATTTTTTTCTATGATCATCTTGTCACAAGCTCCATTAACAAACCCCTGACACACAGACTCCTGTAATCCGATTCAGGATCAGAGGAACCGGAAGAGCCGTACGGTGAGCATGGAAATCGAATCTTTTAAGGAAGAGAGCAATGCTGAGGGATCACGGAGCAATGCAACTGCGACAGCTTCATGAATAGGACTGAAAAAAGGCATGAAATGTGTTTGTTTCGTTGGGAGAAACATTTTCCGGCATCCAACGGATGAACCCCCTTGAAGGTTTTGATTTAGAAGCAGAAATTTCTTTTGGCCATATCACATTTGTCATCATAAAACCAATAGCTGCTCTGAGACAGATGACAGGGTAACATGTGCAAGGAGAAGGGAAGAGGTTCTTTCTGTGCAGGTGTGTTTGTGCTACTATTATATGTTTCTCTCTATACTATGGGATTCAATTACTGATCTTTCTATGGTTATTGAATTTTCATTCTTCACCTTTTTTAAAATCTTTTCAATGAAATACCTTATATTGTAAAAACCATCAAAGTATTGAAATTATATGCATCTCTTCCCTTCTCTTCTCTTTTATGTGTATATACATTGCACATAATTTCACATTTATTTTTTTAATTCATCAGATAAATATAATTTTATTTTATATAGTTAATGTGAAATACTAATACTAAAATTATTGAATTTAATTAAAATATACTTAATATCACAAGAAAAACGAGTAAATATGTATATAGTTTTAATTTTTAATACTACAGGATGAGTGTAAATTGATCATTAAAATTAAAAAAAAAAAAAACTAAAAATGATGATTTTTTATTGAAAAAAAAAAGTTAATTTAAACCATTAATTTATAGTCATCCGGTAGTCCTTGTTGACGTTTTACGAGAGGAATGACGATTTGTGATAGTTGTCGGGGGATAGAGAATCATTAATAATGATGCATTATGCCTATTATGAAGGTATTTCAGAAGTATATATGAGTGTTCTGACGAACAAAGGAATGAAGAGAAAACCATCATGAGAGCCCGTGGGGTAGTTCTGTATTATGTCAGTCTAATATATAGTTGATGAAAGACGTTATCGAAAATGTTAATAGTTTTGTAATATTTTCGGTAAAATGTTATCTAAAATATTATTTTTTTACCGAAAATATTAATTTTGTTACCTAATTTTTGATAGAAAAATTAGTATAAAAATAACATTTTAGGTAACGTTTTACCGAAAATATTAAAAAAATTAATATTTTCAGTAGCGTATTTCCTTATCCGCATATTAGACTACCATACTGGAGACATCCCGATCCCTCACGAGAAAGGAGAGAGAACCCCTTTTGTTGGGGGCAAAGTCACTTTTGTGTCTCTAAAGTAATAGATTGACCATCATAGAGTTGATGATAATTGTTGGGAGTTTGAATGGATCTCATAAATATTATTTATCACTCATTTATTAGAGGTATAATGATTGTTCTTTCTTAGTTGAGAGAGCATTATACAGGGACACGTTAAATTTGAGACAATATATGTGCTAGCATAATTCTTAATGGGATTGTGATTGATGAATAGTTCATCTCTTTTGAATTGATGAAAGATCGTGTCACTTAATTTTTATGTCGCTTAAAAGTATCTCTTTGGAGCTCTTGAAATATCAATATGATCAACTAAGGGCTTAACAATTTTTAAAAAAAATTATTTTGTTGACTTTGCGTCAAACGAAGAATATCTTGATGCGATTAAAATCAAATAGGTGTCTTAAAGGTGATCGATTTTAAAATAGCCGAGGATAATTTGATTTTACGTAAATAAAAGTATTCCAACATGAATATCTCAATATTGTGAGAGTAGAGCATCTCGACTCTACTCAAGCAGAAGCATCTCAATCTTGTGAGAGTGGAATATCTCGATTCTGTTCAAGCTGAGGCTTCTCAATAGGGACATCTCATGCTGTGCAAACAAGACGACCAATGGAGGGATCAAGATTTATTTTAACTTTGTAAGGGGCAAAAGGATTTGGTAGATCATAAGTCATCTTAACGCTTTAAATAACAGACATGACAATTCACCCTTTCTTATTGACGTAGAGTCATGGTAGAATATTTTAGGTAGATCATTCCACTTTTTCATTTTTCCTTTTATATGTCTTTTTTCCCCATTTTTTAGAAACTTAAGCCAAACCTAGAGATATTATTTTTTTCCCCTTTCTTGTGAGAGTCCCCTTGTTCTCTATCACTCAACAAAAAAGTGGGAAAGTCAAGCCTTAAATACCATTTCCAATAGTGTTTCCAATACTATGTGGGATTGAGCATTACCAACACTTGTTTCCAATACAATGTGATTATTCAGGAAACAATTAACAATCATGCACCTTAAAACAACTGAATCAGCAACCAATTGCATTAGTATTATACGATTAAATATGTCATAATTAAAAGTCAATCTACAATCAATCGCGATTATTACAATTTTAAGCAAAACATTCAAAAATAATATCACTATTTAAGGCTCAATCCCACATAGTATTGTGAACAAGTGTTGGTAATACTCAAATCCCACATAGTATTGGAAACACTATTGGAAATGGTATTTAAGGCTTGACTTTCCCACTTCATTGTTGAGTAATAGAGAACAAGGGGGACTCTCGCGCGCCGCCGCCGCCGTCTCGTCTCGTCTCGGGTCGTGGTCGCGAACTTCGACTATCGCAACGAATTTGGAATAAATCGCAACGCGAACTTCGACTATCGCAACGAATTTGGAAACTGATTTGCGATACCGGAGATCACGTTACGAATTATCGATCGCATTGCGATTTAGTTGATCATTTTGACAAATCCAAAAAAAGTTGATCAAAATCTTATATTATAAGGCATTTTTTGTCACTGAGGTTATTTTCTCTCTCTCTCTCTATATATATATATTATGTTCAATCACTCAATAAATATATCTAAAACATTATAGGTAAGCACTTAAAAACCACACATATCTAAATAATGTAATATTTAAAAATCCTCACGTTGTTTAGATATATATATTTTTAAGCGTTTAAACATAAATTTTTAAACATTTAATTAATAAATACTTAAACATAATGTTAATATATGCGTCGTTTCTTGATTCATATTTAGATTATTTTTATAAAAAAAAATATTTTCAATAAAATAAAAATATATTATTATTTTATAACATGTATTATATTATTGTTGTTTAAACATAATCATAAAAAAGTTTAGTGGGCAATTCGTATATTAAATTTATGTGATTTTCCTAATTTCAATTTGGGTCGAGGGTTTAAGAGGTAAAATCGGCCATTGAAACCTCTGAAAAAAAAATTATCAAACGATTCACAAACTCAGTTTCTGGTTTTCGTATCTGAGAATCCCAGTTTAATCTTCACAAAAGTAACTGATCTGATAAAAAGAAGATGCTCTCATTTTCATGTCTACTGCTTCTCATATACTAGTATTGTGGAGGACGGCTAAATATGAAACCCGTTTTGGGGTTAACATTCGGCCCTGGATCTTTATAATCCGTCATTTCAATCATTTCCCTTGACGTTTCTGCACTTTCCTGCCATCCAAACACCAGTTTTAGGATCTCATAATACTAGCTGATGATTTGACTTAAAATTTTAAAGAGAAAAACAAAACCTCTAATTGAGCAGTGGATTCCTCAAACTCCATCAATTTCCTGGAACAAAATCCTAAGGAAACAGCGACAACAAAAAGGTAGCACAAAATCAAAAAAAAAGAATCAAAGGAATACATCAAAGGAAAAAAAAAAGACAAAGTATTACCTTGACCTTGAGAGGAGGAGAGAAGCAAAAGCATTGAAAGAAGTACTAATTTGAGAAAGCAAGAGCGACCCATTGTTTCTTGAACAATTCTGGGAAATGGGTACTTCTCGGATTTTGGAAGAGTTGAGGGTTTTCGTCGACAGTTTATTGGGAACCGCTATGCTTGAGCTTTTAAGTTTCTGCAGATCCAATGAAAGGTATTTTTAAACCATATTTTGTACTTAAATATAAAGAGTGCGACTCGGTGCAATTATATTCCTATTGTTGGTATGTATTTTTGATATTTTCTAATTAAATACCTATAGGGATGGATCGAGAGATGGGTGAGGGAATTAATTCTATGAAAACTTAAAATTATCATATATTTTAAATTTTTAATGTTTTTTTTAAATGTGTTTCTCCGAAAATTTAGTGGTCTCCTCTAAATTTTAGTAGTTCCCTCTAAATTTAAGTTTGTCTTTTCTAAAATTCATGTATCCGTCTCTGTCTATAATTATATAAATAATATATTTCATAAGTACTCGATATCATACTATTGTTTTAAACAACGTTGGCTGTAAAGCTGCAAAAATTGAATCTGCCATAGTTTTCCAGCAAGAAAAGAAAACCCAATATCCTTTTCATTTTCCTTTTTCACTGCCTTTTCAAAGTCCACTATTCATAGGCTTGAGAATCTTCTTTGGTCTTGAGAATCCTATGTTCAGTATTTTGGTATGCTGGTGACCATAGACTTTGCACACACCAACCACTTGCCAGATTATACATACATACATACATACACTATTCATGGGGGTTTTTCCTATTTTATACAGAGTTTTGAGTTTAAATTGTCAGTAGCTTCTTTAACTTATCCTACATACATACATGCATATATATACATATATAGAAATTTTGAAATAGAGGTGGGGATCAAGAAGATGGGAAAAGAGGGCCAGTGGCAGTCCTGAAGAGCCTCCCTCTGTGGAATTGAATGTTGTTAAGCTTTTGCTGGCACCAATTGAGTTGAGAAGATGGCACAATGGACATCTGCAACACTCTTGATATCAGCTTCATCTCTATTATTGTAAATAGCATTGCCTCTTTCTGGGACTCCTCCATAGGCTTCACCACTTTGTTAAACCAGCACCTCTGCTTCCCTTGTAAATCCTTCAACCATACTTCCTTCTGCATCACAAAACAAACATTTCAACCGAACGCAGTATTTTATGTCAAGGGACTAATATAAAGAAAATTTCAGAGGAGACGACCATGGTACATCCCTTAAGTAATGGGGAATGCTCCATCATTGAATATTTTTGTACCTTTCTAAGTGTTGTGGTTAGGTCAGCCAGCAGGTGCAGATCCCTTGGATTCTCCATGGAAGGATAAGACCCTAATGAGCTTTTAAATTTCCAGCAAGCCTTGTTCCTCTCAATGGTGATGAATTTTCCAAATGCCTTTATGCATTTCTCTATGGCCTTCAACACATCTTTCGCACCCACTGTTTCTCCTTCTTCCCCCACTTGTCCTTCCTCCATATACCCTGTAAGAATATCAGATTGAGGCTATTTTTAAAATTAAATAATATTAGAATTCAATTTCAAAAAATAAAATATAAGAATTAAATGTTAAATCTTGAAACATTACAGGGACATCATCACATATGTAAACCCATGAAATATCCTGTATGCATTTTCCTATGGCTGATCAGTACCTTTGCAGGATTCTTTTTAATTCATTTCTCCTAAGGCCATATCATTAAGCAACAAAAATGGTCATTATTCAACTTGAAAAGTCTTCAGGTTGGAATTTAGTGCACATTTGACATATTGACAAATTTATTAGATAAAAGTGTTCTTTTCCCAGAAATTGATAATATATATGGTTTAATATACATTTTACTACCTTAACTTGGCTCAAGGTTCAATTTCATATCTAATTTTTTTTCCAACTAGGTACCTCTCAACTCGTCTTTAAAGTTAAATTTGATACCAAAATCATTTTTGGTCCAACTAGGTATATGGACTTGAATTTATTTTTTGTTTAAATTAATTAAAATTATAAATACCAATTTAAACCAAGCAACCAAATCCAAGTATCAATTTAAATATTAGTAAAAACCAAATTTAGGTATATACATTAAAAGAATTACCTGTTACTTTAGGAACTTGAAGAAGGGTCTTGGAAGCATGTCTTGCTTGAACATAATTCCAAGCTCTCTTTCCCCTATACAAATACTTCTCTTCATCCAAGAATCTTTCCAGCAATACTTGGAAGGTTTCAAAATCCTTGGCCAAATTATCAGCAAACAAGCAGTTGGTGAAGCACAGGAACTTGACTTTCCTGTATTGATGATGCAGTGCCTCCCATGTCAAGCAAGATTGAGCCACATAAACTAGCTCAAAATCACTCTCTAAACTCTTTAAAAGCCTCTTCTTATCATTTTTGCTCCATGATATGTAGGGGATGCTCAAATCCTTCAACTTTATGTTGTCCAATGAACTTGGACTCCCAATTTCCCTGTTCAAGATTGCACCTGGAAAAAAGGGTCGGAGCCAGGATGAAACTTTATCGAGCTAATTATAAACAATAATAAAATGAAGGTTAAAGTTTAATTTTTAAGTCGTATACTCACTCATTCCATGAGTCCTGTCATGGTTCAGGACATCAAACCATCTCATTCTTTCAGAATATTTCTGGTAAAATCCTTCTGATTCGTCTTCATCTCTTCCTGTGGCTATTACTTCCCTCACTGAAACTCGAGAACTCGAGCCACGAGCCGGCAACAAACGTTCTTTCATCAACGGCGAGTTGCTCGATGAGCTAAACAACGGTGAGTTCGAGTAACTAAACAACGGAGAATATTCGTTCAAGTACGATTCATCCATCGACCGAGAAGAGTTGCAGAAGAATGATGAACACTCGTCTTCTCTCAAGTCTTCTTGAAGACGAAAGCTAAAGTCTTCATAGCCATTAGCATCGTTAAATGTACCCCTTCGAGGTTCAACCAATTCAGTCCTCAATTCAATTGATGGTACGCTTGAAGAAACACTTAACCTGACGAGCTGATTTTGACTAAAATTATCAGCAGCTTCTACGTTGGAATCATCCTCTTTAACTCTGATAAAAGAGAAGATAAAGAAGATACAATATCTACAAAATTTATCAACGCACGACATCAAAAAGCTAATGATTCTGAAAGGATAAATGAACAAAGCTAAAATGCATCTCTGCAGCCATTTGAGACACAGAAAAATTTGGAAAACCAAGAGGAAAAAAGGGTGGATATAGAAACTTAAATAAAACCATCTGAGAAAATATTCACGAGGGATGATTATTGATTCAATGATAAGCCAACAAGAAGCAAGGACAGCCATTCTCAAACTTATTAGTTAAATATCCTAAAACAGTACGGCTTATTTAAACTTGGTGAAGGCCAAGACATTTTTTCCTTGGAAGCTTCATGTAAATTACTCGAATTCAATTCTACTCGTACTCAGATTTAAAGTCTTCGTGATTTTTACTCAACTCTAATGGATATACCCTAAGGTGAGGTCATTGACTCGTTGACAAATGAGGGAAATAACAAGGAAGGACGCACGTTGGGAAATATTTGAAAAATAGAGAGTAATTAGTTTCATGGGTCAGGATGTTCACTTTCTTTGTCCTTTCATAAGTTATAATATAACTTGTGTCTATTGACTAACATTTTAGTTAAATAAATCAAAATCTTCAATTGGTTTTGGCTTACTTGGATCCTATCCATTAGGACAATTGTCTAATGAATCTTCACAACATGTGCTTGAAAATTGATATCTAATTTATGATCGGAAAAGATTTGAATAGCATAATCATTGTATATGTAACAAATTTCTTTATATCTAACTTCTTTTTAACTGTTGTCCTGAAGTTTCGTTTAAGGACCGTAAGCATGATTTTATCAATAAAAAATATATATAAAAATTTAAAATTTTCGAAGACGATTGTCCCCTTCCCCTTGTCCGATAACTACAGTTCCTTCTTCAAATTAATCGACCAAATGAGACAAAGCAGCATAGGAAATTTTCAAATGAACAGATGTCTTCCTTTACGTTTAACTTTACCTATCAATATCATTATTTTTTTCCACGATGAAGAAGAATACAGTGAAAGCAAATATGGACATGTGTCGGCAAATGCCAATGGGACTGTTACTAATTTAATACAAGTGATTCGGATATCAGCTTTTGACTATTTCAATCATAAGCTCTTACCTCACCCCCATGTCAATGCATTTCCCACCTAACCTGATTAGCTACTAAACATTAATTGATCAATGTCTGGTTATGTCGGCTTTTCTGTTTTATATTTTTAATACGCTTGATTCTTACATTTGGAAATGGACATTGGACCAGGAGATGTTGAAGGCAACCGTACTTTTTATAAAATTTAAAATATTATATAATGCAAATATCTATCTTGTATTTCTATTGATGATCTAATTTTACATTCATATATCTAATGCATAACGATTTTAATTATTGTAGCATGTTTTTCGTAATACATGAGTATGTATCATGTTTGCCTATATTATCTGATGCGTAGTGATTTCAAATATCATAGCATATTGTAGGTTATATCTTGTACGTAGTGCAGCGGCAGATCTAAAAATTTAAGAATGAGTGTCCAAAATTTTAATATCCTTTTTTTTTAATAATGGGTATACAAAAAAATTTATTTTTTTCTTATCATATTAGACTAAATTTTACCCTTTTTCCTAAATAATGAGATACATTTAACCCTTACGAGGTTTAGTGTATTCGTCCCTAACGTAGTGTACTTAAGATATCTTATGATAGCTGTCGTTATCCATATTGCCCGATCCAACAGTAATTCCATGTAATTTACCGTTGTTGTGAATGTGTCCATAAAACTATGGATATGAAATAAATTTGTTAGTGGTGGTACTATGGGTATTGAGATAATGTTGATTACATTATGATAAATAATGTATGAAACAATTATAAGATTGAGTGAATAAATCTTAGAGTTATGACTTCGAAATATGATTGATGTTGCTCTTGTGTAATGTACTAATAAATGATGGTTAGAAAAGTAGTGTGTAATATACTAATAAAAGATGGTAAGAAAAGTATCCTAGTAGAGATAACACATATCTAAGCTCATGTCTTTCAGTCTATACATGCATTATATGATTATGTTTATGAAGTGCACAAAGTATAATAGAGTAGAAGTATGTTACTGAACTTGTAAAGTTGTGCTTGAATATTTTCATCTACATGTTAGTAGTGTTATACAATCCGAGAAGAAAATAAAGTAAAAATAAAATTCGAATTTTATTAATAAAGTAGAAGAAACATTTTAGAGTAAAGAACTTGAATAATAACCTAATGTCGAACTTGAATCTGGTTGAGGTCTGCAGCTACGCGGTTTTCTTAAGATAGATTTTCGGCCACTCCTTGGTGCTCGAGATATCTTGGTCGTCTGTCACTCAGAATACAACAACGATATGATCAGCGCACGGTAACATAACTTGCCAGATCACGAATCAAATCTTACTAGAGACTATCACCGAAAACGAGAGAGAAAGAAAAGAGTTTTTGAAATGTGTTTAACTTAGTAAGTTAGCACGATATTTATAGTGTTTCACAAGGGAGACGGATTGAAAATAATATATTTGGGCTACTAATTAGTATCCGAATAAAATCGAAAAATAATCAATTAATATCGCCTTAAATATATTTTGGTTGTTAATAAGTATTTGAATAAAATTGAAAATAATCAATAAACACTGTATCTTATGAATATTCAAAAAGATAAGTTTCACTTAAGGAAACTATTTAATTCGTAGTGGGTAAAATATCCACAGGGCCCGACCGGTCCGGACATTCATGTCGCCCACGTCGTGTGGGTGCACCTCCAACGCCGATGGGTTTGGCGGGCTTAGATTTACAACACCTTGCGCCTGCGCGCGAGGCACAATATCAACCCAAGTCATTCAATGGCTAGTAAGTTGGTTTGTTCCATGCTTGATATCCCACCAACGTATGAAACGAGTTTTCTCATTTTCCCTACGCAACACAATTCACATGTACCTTACTTTCAGCATCAATTTCTCATTCATCACTCAACCGTTTTGAGCATATGAGATACAGTTGTAAAGATCTCACGTAGTAGAATATGAATCAACAAATTCATTATTCAGTTCTCTATCTTTACACTTAGAAAATATGCTCCAAAATTTCTAATTTATCTCATTTTTTCCAACAAGTAGATTGTGATTGTTTTGGAAGGATACTATTGACAAAGAGATTCTATCAATATACCATTTCGAGTACGAATTCTGATTTAGGGGTTGTTTGTTTACTTCAGAATGATTAAACGCTGAATGATTCAGAGGCTCTGTATGAATTAGCTCTGAATGTGACATGTTGTTTGATAATGGCTCTGAATCATTCAGAAATCATTCAACACTATTTTGTTGAATCAGTCGGCACTGAATCATTCAGAGGTGCGAAACAAACGCGCTGAATGCTGAACGGTTCAGCATTCAGCGCTGAATAGTTCCATTAAGGGGCAAACAAATAGCCCCTTAGTTTAGTAAACATTTGTATTCATAGGACATTGTTAAACTCTAGTACTATGTTGATTTATTTTGACCTACACTTTGTTATATTCGGAGCGTTGAGTTTTGCCTAAACACTTTCAAAATTATTATATACCAGATTTTATTTGTTATAGATGTCTTAAAATGGTATTGCTCATGTTTTGAGTTTGAGAGACGCTTTAGTGGCCCAATTGACATCCTAGACATGTTTGATCTTATTGATCAAGTTTAAGGATGCACATTTGGTAAGCCCAAATGTCTGCCGAAACATAATGATTGCAGTTGCACCATGTGCCCATGTTTTTACGCTTTGTTTCAGGTCAAAAAGTGAAGCAGATATAATTCAGAAACATTTACTGTTCAGAGAGAGGGAAATCAGAAACCTGCTTTTTCTTTCTTTTCTTGAACAATAACCTGCAACACCGGCTGCTCCCATCAATCTTGGCTCACTGGTCATGTCTATTTTCTTTCTAGCTTTTATAGACTTAACCATTTATGTATTCCCATTTTATAACTAATTGAGTATTTCATTAAACTTTTGATCAATAAGGAGAAAATAGATTGGGGGAGTTTTTACCAAAAAAAAAATCATTTTAACAGTAAATAATTATCTATTAGATATTATTTTTATAAATATTATTGATCTAGTATATTTTTTATAGGTGGACAAAAGGTGTAGATCTGGAAGCGCGCCTTCTTAGGATTATGTCTGAGCTGGCATCAAGGTAGAAAGACGCGGCTCACGAAGCACGTCTTCACGGAGAAATCTAACACGTGGAGGAAGACGCAAATCATGAGACGTGATCAATACCCCTTAATATCGTTCAATTGTCTGTCACCTCCTCTTAATTATCACAAACCCTTTTTAATATTGCACGTCCCCCTCCCCTAACAAATACCCCCACATACAACCTTCACCTTCAAATCACAAATCACGCCAAAATTCTCCTTCTTCCTTTTATCAATACTTCATCAAACTTTAAGTAGGTTTTATTATTGTTTTTAGAAGATAATTTTTATTATATTATAATTATTTAATAGTTTATTATTTTATTATATTTTACTATACTATTTTTTTTTTACTTTTTATAGTTATAAAATGGAAGACATGTTACTCTGTTTAGATGAGAATCATATTTCGAGTCATTTTGTCGATACAGTAACAATTTTAAAATATGTTATTTTAATTATTGTGAATTTTTTATTTATTTTTGTTTTTAGTATTAGTTAATATTTTAATTTGTATATTATTTATTTAATAAGGAGATTGACCGTATATTAGATTCATTTATTCGTAACGCTAAGTTAGAGATACCGAGTCATGTCTGGTCTTATTTAGCCGATGTTGGATTCGGTTACATAACGAAATATGAAGGACATTGTAACCTTGAACCCAATCTTATTTTTGCACTAATTGAGAGGTGGAGACCAGAGAGACACACATTCCATCATCCGTGTGGGGAGTGCACTATTACATTGAAGGATATTTCCATACATTTGGGGGTTCTGGTAGATGGGAATGTTATTTTTGGAGTGGCGGAGGATGATTGGCATTCCTTGTGTGATGAGTATCTTGGAGGTATCCCGCCTAATTTCAGTTGTGGTCAAATATTGTTATCATGGTTGTTGACTACAAATTTTCAACATTTGAGTCAAGACTGTTCCGAGGAACATGCTAAAATATATTTATGAGCTTGCATATTACAACTCATAAGAGGGATCTTGATGGTCGACAAATCTCGCAATCAAGTTCATTGTATGTGGTTGTGTCACCTCGAATATTTTCACGTTGATGGTTCATTCAGTTGGGGTTCCACAGTTTTGACATCTCTGTATAAAAAATGTGTTGGGCAATTGATTATCAGAAAAATGCTATCGGCGGATATCTTATTTCCAATCATAGGTATGGTATCACATGTATTTTTTATGTCCATACGTGAATATCTCGTTGGTCTTCCTGTTATTGTTGATGTAATTTCAATACCGAGTTCGTATATAAATAATTTTTTTGAGAATATAATGAAATGTTTTTTATGTTGAATAAGTAGTCATGTACAAGGAAAAGTTATCATGATATACGAGACGAATTGGAATAAATTGAGTCTGTTATGTACAGTATTTATGGTAAATTCATCTACATCATTATCATCGAAGTCCTTGTTAAACTGTGGTGTTTCTGGCTCAACGAGTAGTCCAATCTCAACACCATCCGCACTTGGCTCAAGAAGATATTCTTCTGATGGAGATGAGGATTCCTTTGTGATGTCGGTATTTAGGTCGAACAAGCTGGTAGTTGAATGTCTTTCTCTTGAACTTGAAAGCATCGTGTCATACGGGTTTTGAACTTAGTGATGTGTCACATGCATCTCCACATTGAGGTCGAAAAAACTCGCAGTTGAATGCCTCCCTTAGAACTTGAAGGCATCGTGTCAAATGGTTATTACACGATGAATGTAGATGAATGTATTCCCCTTGAATTGGAAGCGATGTTGTCATACGGATTGTTCGTGGAGTCACCTCGGTACATATCATAACAAGTTGTTGATGAATGTCTCCCAATTGAACTTGATGGAATGATACCAGGATGCGGATTTGCCACTAACGAGGTACAATTATTACACATTACTTGAGTTGGATTGTCAACTTGATTAGTTTGTTAAGCAAGACCATACTGAGAGCATAATAACATACCACGAACTGCAAACACTTCAACAAATGTGGCATACATTTGTGTAACAACATCTGAATTTTGATTTTGAACATCAACTATCATAGCAACATTGTCATCGTTAGAGAGTATGAACGGTGTATAAATTAACGAAAATAGTGCAGTTAGAAATCTATACTGAAATGAAGAAAATATTCTAATACTCCCAACATGAACCATCCTTGAAATTTTAGTGATTAGCTCTTTAAGAGTGATGTTTCTCTTGAAGGATAAGGTGACAAAATGATTTAATGCGAAGACAACACCAATTCATCTTCTATAATTTCTCCATCATAGTAAACAATAACTGAAATATGCCTCATTTTGAGAGTATGAAAGATTGATAGTATTATATCTACAAAAACAAATAATTGTTTCTAATATACGATCATTATCCTAATTAAATAAATAGTATATGAATTAAAATATAAACTAATATTAAAAAATTTAAAAATATTCATAATAATTTAAATAACATAATTTAATATTGTTACCGTATCGACAAAATATCTCGAGATATGATTTCGCCTGCCATTTTACAACCGCAAAAGTAATAAAAAATTAGTATAATAAAATTTGATCAAATAATTAAATATGAAATAAATATAATATAATAAAAACTAGTTTTACCTTCTAAAAACTATAACAAAATCTACTTAGCTTGATAGAGGAAATTGATAGAATGAAAAATGTGAAAGTAATTTTGGTATTGTTTGATATTTGAATTTGAAGAGATATTTAAAGAGGGAAGGGATGGGTAATTGGCCGAGAGAGTTGGATGGTCGAGTCAATAATTCAAGGGTAATACTGGAAGGTGCCCTTCATGATCTGTGTCTTCCCTGTGTCAGAAAACCCTACGAATGTGCGTTTCATGAGTCACGTCAGCTCGTACGTAACTTTAGGAAGACATGCTTCCTTATTCGCGCCTTCCATCTACCTGTTAGAAAGAGTGCATGCCTTCCATCTACCTGTCAGAAAAGTGCTAGATCGATAATATTTGAAGAAATTGTGACCAATTATTTTTGGGTAAAAACACCATAGATTCGATTAGCTTAACAGAATTTCCCTTTTATAAAAAGTACACATATTAGCCGCTCTCATATAGAGCATAGGGTACCCTAAACCGAGTGACAAAGTGGTACACTATCCAACACAACTAACATAAATATAAGAGAAAATAACCTCAGTGACCAAAAATCTAAGATAATATACGATTTTGACCAACTTTTTTTGTATTTGCGAAAATGACCAACAAAATCGCAATGCGATCTCTAATTCGCATTGCGATCTCCACCATCGCAAATTCGCGTTGCGATAGTTGAAAATCGCGTTGCGATTTTCCATTTCGCGTTGCGATAATCTACAGTTGTCGTTGCGATTTTCCAAATTCGTTGCGATTTTTCAAATTCGTTGCGATAGTTTACAAATTCGTTGCGAAAATTCGTTGTGATAGTTAAAAAAAAGATTTTGTTTCTTAAGAATTTTCTCTAAAAAGATAGTATCCGCGCGGACTTGTCGAAGACACGTATTACCACGACCACGACCCGAGACGAGACGGACGGCGGCGGCGGCGCGCAAGAGTCCCCCTTGTTCTCTATCACTCAACAAAGAAGTGGGAAAGCCAAGCCTTAAATACCATTCCCAATAGTGTTTCCAATACTATGTGGGATTTGAGCATTACCAACACTTGTTCCCAATACTATGTGGGATTGGGCCTTAAATAGTGATATTATTTTTTAATGTTTTGCTTAAAATTGCAATAATCCCGATTGATTGTAGATTGACTTTTAATTATGACATATTTAATCGTATAATACTAATGCAATTGGTTGCTGATTCAGTTGTTTTAAGGTGCATGATTGTTAATTGTTTCCTGAATAATCACATTGTATTGGAAACAAGTGTTGGTAATGCTCAATCCCACATAGTATTGGAAACACTATTGGGAATGGTATTTAAGGCTTGGTTTTTCCACTTCCTTGTTGAGTGATAGAGAACAAGGGGGACTCTCGCGCGCCGCTGCCGTCGTCCGACCGTCTCGTCTCGTCTCGTCTCGGGTCGGGTCGGGTCTGGTCGTGGTCGTGGTCGTGGTAATACGTGTCTTCGACACGTCCTCGCGGATACTATCTTTTTAGAGAAAATTCTTAAGAAACAAAATCTTTTTTTTAACTATCACAACGAATTTTTGCAACGAATTTGGAAAATCGCAACGACAAATGTACACCATCGCAACGAATTTGTAGACTATCGCAACAACAACTGTAGACTATCGCAACGAATCTGGAAAATCGCAACGAATTTAAAAAATCGCAACGACAACTGTAAACTATCGCAACGCGAAATAGAGTTTTTACTCGATCATAGTGGTGACCTCCATGGCCATGTGATGCCATTACCTAAAACATAAACAGAAAACCAAAGCTCAATTCTGGAAAGTCGGGTTTTATCTAAGGAAGAAGGCAATGAGACCCACCATTGTTTGAAGCATAGAGATGGCAATGAGAGCCAAGAAGAAGACAACAACAAGTTTAGCCATTGGTTTTTTTTTCTTCCTGCAAATCAAACCCCTCTCACAATGTTTAAAGAAAAGGAGTGAAAAATGGAATAATTAAAGGAGAGGGTGTTGGTTGAACAATGCGGGTAAGGGGGTTGCGGGGTATAAATAGATGAAAAAGGTTTGGCATGTCCTCTACACGATTTTTCAAGGCCCAACACCCTTACATCCAAGTAACGAGGTAAACGAGTCGAATTTGAATATTGTTAAAATTAATTGGATTTGAAAATTTTAAAGTTGAGTTCGATTCGATTGAAATTCGAATTTGAATTAAAAAATTGTTAAGCTCGATTCTAATTTGAAAAAAAATGAAGTTTGACTTGAACTAAAAAAAAACTTAAACTCAAAACATTCTCAAACTTCGATTGAAGTTCAAACTCGAACTCAAATTCAAACATAAATCTTAAATACATAAAAGATTTATATTGAATTTTAAAAAACAACAACATATAATGTTAATATTATCAATAATTTAATTTTAAAAAATAAAATATTATTTTTTTCGAATTACTCGTAAATTTTTTAAGTTTTAACAAGTCAAACTCAATAATTAAACTACTTTAATAATTTACAAGTTATCTCGTTTCATTTATAATTCTAAATCTTCGAGCCATTAAAATACTTTATATTATTATACTTTTACAATTCAATTTAAATATTTTCACCATACCATCATGTCAATTATATCTGTTGTAATAGGAGTTTAATATGGTGACAATAACTGGAATTTTAGAATATTTTAGATTTAGCTTCTGTGTAATTTTTTATTATTTATTTTGATTTAAAATTTAATATGAAAATGCTTTGTATAAATTTATTTTAAATAAAATTCGTATATAATATGATTATTCATTATAATAAATATTTCCGACATGTCGATGTAATTATTAAAATGTATTAATTATAGTTATCGTATATAAGATTTAGAAAATTTTACATGAAGTTCGTACATAGATTTGCTTGCTTATTTAACTACAGATAAATTGGTAATTTACAAGGTTTTCCTTTTTCTTTTTTTCTTTGGGTAAATTACATCAATCGGTACTGAATTTTACTCTCTTCTCTTTCACTTAGTGTACTTCAAATCAATTCAATTTTCTCAAAAATTAAACCCATAAATATTGGTTGGGAATTTATTTTAATTTTTCTTATGCTTTTATAAGCACTTATTTTGTCCGGACCAGAGCAACTATAAGAGTCAACCCAAAACTAAACTTGGACCAGCCTATGTAGACCTATTTAATATGATGGCCCAAACTTGGGTCAACCAAGTAACCCTTATTTATTATTCATCTGTTCCACCTTATCGCCAACAATCTCACTCTCATATGCATCTCTACAAACAAACAAACAAACAAAAATACATAAATAGTATTCTTACTACAAGATATTGTTTTAGTGAGTCTTTTAACTATTGAAAGTTATAAAATGATCCCTAAACTATAGAAAATTATTTTATTGAATCCCTTGACTATTAAAAGTTGCAAAATAGTCACTCGACTATTCAGTATGTTTTAAACTTGTCATTCTACTTTAAAAAATTATCAGACATCTGAACTAGACGTTAACATATTGACTTAGATATGATAGTAATTTGATATTATGAGATCATATTTTATCATGTCTCAGTCAGTAATTTAGCATGTGGCTTAGATTTTCGTCGCAATCTTAAAGAAAAATGATGTGTTTGGAACATAATGAATAATTGGATGACTATTTTGTAACTTTTAATAGTAGAGGGATTCTAATAAGCAACTCCCTATAGTCGGGGATCATTTTGTAACTTCCAATAGTCAAGAGACTCAATAAAATAGTATCTTATAATTACATGATCATTTGTGTATTTTACCCAAAAAAAACCTCAACTCCTATTTAAAATCCAAGAGAGTCCAAATCACAAGATAAAAGAAAATCTACAAAGAAAAATTTGTTTCTAACATTTATGATTTGTATCTATTTTTTTTTACAGATTTGTATCAATTTTAAAGGGCCTTTTGACCCAAAAATCACCCTAAAAATAAAATATTTTCGATCACTCATACTTTCCCACATATTTTTCGATCTAACACTTTTTTTTGAGGAGAGAGGAGGAGGAACGTTTGGTGAAAAGCGTCTTAGGAGGAGAGATAATATAATTGTCAGATTTCCCCTTGAGGTGCACCCCTGAGGAGAGCTTTACCCGGTTTTGGGGAGTGCGCCTTCCCCATTTTTTAAATTATTTTATTAATTAGTTTTTATTAAATAAACTTTTTATTATGTTTTTTTAATTATATAAATACATTTAAATAAAAAATAAAAAAATGTGCGTACCTCTACATCAACTTTCTAGTAAATGAGTAATCAGATATCTCGTAATTCTAATAAATAAATTATAACAATTTAAATAATATATGATCAATTTCTTAATATTTAAAAATTTAAAAAGAATATAGTTTCATATTTCTACCGTATTGAAAAAATAACTCGAAATATGATCAACATCCAATCACAACATCTCACCTTCCATTTTTTAACTGCAAATAATAAATATAAACTAAATAAATTTACAATTAAACAATAAAATAATAAAAAAAAACTTATCGAATACAAAAATTAATTAAACAAAAATAATAAAAATAATTAATAAAATAATAAAAAATAGGAAGGCACGCCCAAGAGATTTGCCTTCTAGGGAATCCAAAACCCGAGTAAAGCTCTTCCTAGAGGATGCACCTTCAAAGGGAAATACTCTCTCTCTCTTCCAAAAGTATGTTAGATCGAGAAATATTTGTGAAATGATGACTGATCAGAAATATTTTATTTTTATGGTGCTTTTTTAGTAAAAACGCCCTATTTTCAAATTAGAATTTCTCCTATAAATGGAACAAAATTCAACCCTTTTGCTTGATTATTTATGTGCATAATCATTATTTTGTTGTGCTGAACTATTAAGGGAAAAATATAGCAAGTTAGGTCATACCAAGCACATGGGAACATAGTCCTTCCTACAACAATGAAATTATTTAGGTCGTTAAGACACAACAAACAAATCCGATTGATGGGTTCGTTGAATCTAACATTGGTCCCTCACCAAAATCATTTCTACAAGTTCGCTAGCTGTGCTCACGACATCTCATTTTCTATCAACTTAAAACCCCCTTTTTCAACCATATACTTAAGCGACTTGTATTCAGATAAGTGGATTTGGGAATGTGAATCTTTTATTTGCGGGGGGAAAAAAGTAATTTAAATTTTGATTATTTATTCTAAATTTAATATTGTGTTTGTTATAAATATATTGGGTAATCGTTATAATATATCGATTCTATATTAATTCTTAGATTTAATACTTTTTTTCATAATTTGATCTTCGATATCAAATTAAAAGAAAATCTCATTTAAAATAATTTAGTGGTATAGATCATGAGTAATTTATCTCTTATGGATTGAATAGAAAATCACAATCGACGATGAAGTTTTCATTGGATGATGTTGAAATTCTCTCTTTGGTGAAGAAGACAAGTTGAAGTTAGAATTTCATATCTTAGGTTCCTTTCTCACAGTCCAAATCGAGAGGTTTTATAATGACTTTTAATGAGATCATGATAATTTCTTGTAAGCTGACGTAAATTTAATTAATGTGATCACATATAAATAGATTTCAATAGATTACGTAAGATCTATTAAATGTTATATTAAAGGATATCTATTTCTCGAGAAATATAATACTCTAGATGTTTTATGTCCAAAAATATTTTTCGGAGACATCCACGGTGAAGATATCATCCGAAAATCTTAATTATACAAAATAAAATTTAATTATGATATCAACCTTAAAATTTTATATTATAATACATATTATCTTAAAACAATATTTTTGAAAATGATGAAGAATCAGTGTAATAGTGATGGGAGCAGAAGGTAGGGCCAATTTCTGTTGTTAAATAGCAACCTCATAATTTAATTTCTCCTCCACAAATTTATTAACTGTACAAACTGTAGAGGAAGATTTGTCAGAATGCCATTATTAAGGTTCGTCGCTTTATTTGTCTCCCTCCCTACCAATTTTAAGCTTTCACCGTTTATGTTAATTACATACTTAGTACTTGCATTTTCCGCAAATTTTGTAATGAATATGTTTACGGATTTAATTACTTGTTCAAGTTTAATACCTTTCAAAAAAGTTAACTCAAAAAATATATTATTTTGAAAATGATAAAAAAGAAATTGGTCATTTTAAGCAATAAATCATGAGCTATCCGTAAATATAAGTTGATCCTAATATTTTAAATTGAATCAAATTTAAAATAATATATATAATTATAAAATCATATTCCGTTTCGACTCAGACCCGACCCTATTAGACCCATTCTGCAGCTCCATTTTGGGTTAAAGGAACGGATTTCGGCTGAAACTCCTCGGGGCTGTCATCGGTTCAAGCCCTACCTTTGCTTATTTTGGGCCGACCCTACCTCTGATTTTGACATGCAATCTATCTATCTATTTATTTAATGAGAAAATAACCTCAGTAACCAAAAATCCCAGATAATATACGATTTGACCAATTTTTTTTGGATTTGCGAAAATGACCAACAAAATCGCAATGCGATCTCAAATTCGCATTGCGATCTCCACTATCGCAAATTCGTGTTGCATTTCGCGTTGCGATAGTTGAAAATCGCGTTGCGATAGTCTACAGTTGTCGTTGCGATTTCCAAATTCGTTGCGAAAATTCGGTAATAGTTAAAAAAAGATTTTGTTTTTTAATAATTTTCTCTAAAAAGATAGTATCTGCGCGGACGTGTCGAAGGCACGTATTACCACGACCACGACCACGACCACGACCACGAGACGAGACGAGACGGACGGCGGCGGCGGCGCGCAAGAGTCCCCCTTGTTCTCTATCACTCAACAAGAAAGTGGGAAAGCCAAGCCTTAAATACCATTCCCAATAGTGTTTCCAATACTATGTGGGATTTGAGCATTACCAACACTTGTTCCCAATACTATGT